AAATGTCCTGTAGCAATTTCATCCCAACATCTGCTCTACTGACCATTATATATAGAGGGAGTATTCCATAGTATCGAATATAAAAGCAACTAAATCATCTCCATAACATGAATAATTATTAGAATTAACACGAGGGAGGGGCAGTCAATACCTGCACATTCAGTAGGTAGGCCAACTCTATTTGGACAGATTGCAAGAGGTTTCATTAAACAACCTCCAAAATTCTAATCGCCTCACACCTATGCTCCCTCACTGGTCAGAAAATATGTCTCTTCGCAGGGTGCATCATCTTCCTTTGTGAATTAATTGACAATTGGATGAATATTAACAGTTAGTCAATTTGTCCCATTTCCAACATTTTTATAAGAAACAGAAGTGTTCAAATACATTTTTTTAAAATAAGTGAATGTCATGATTTTACTCCCAGAATATGTGAGCAGTAAGTCATTAATTTTTAGTGACTCTCAACTCCTCAAGTCCTTGCAGATAGATCTGATTTGGTGTGATGATATAAAATAGGTGTCAGTGAATTGGAAGACTGCTTTAAACCTGTCCCGATTGTTACCTTCAAATGAATTAAAAGGCAACTAAAATTGAAAAGAAGTGTAAAATGTGTTGATGACTATCACCTCCATTACTCAAATGAAGTAAAACAAGATCTACACCTAGGGGTTAAGGGCAGTGTTTTGAACAGGTAAAGGAAACTAAGATATCAAGGAAAATTGGACAACTTGTAAAGGAAAAATTAAGTTCCTAATTTTAGCCATTGCCTCCCTCCTTATTTTAATCTGCTTTGATCCACGAGTATAATACAAACTCCCCATGTAAATTCGTCACCCAATAACTACACCTTCCCACCATGTGTGGAGTTGTGGTGCCTGCAATGGGACAAGGCTGCAACAACCCCATCAGTTTCCAGGGACAGTTTCTATTTTAAATGTGATTGCACAAATTTGTAATGGAAAATATTGAAGGGAAATACTTACAACTTTTTGGCATGTTATAAAGTTGGATATCAACCATAATCATATTGAATGGTGGACAAGCTCAACGGGCCAAAGGGCCTACTCCTCTCCTATTTTCTATATTTCTACACAGTAGATATGAAGTACCAAGCTGAAGGTCTTTTTAAGCTTTGGGCAATGAGAGTGCACAAATTTTTATGTAAGTTTTTTTTTAGTTAAAAGTTTAAGTAGGCTCCTAGTGGTTTTGGGTGGGAGCACTAGTCACCAGATTTATGACCTATATCAAAATAGTCAGGGGTTGGATGTTGACAGGAATAAGACAATATTATGTACTGCACCACCATTTCTATCTCAATACCCCCTGAAATGGGGCTGAAATACTTCGCAGCCACCCACCACTCCTGATTACCTCAATGAATGCTTCCCATAGCAAGTCATATTCAATCTTTCAATTGATTTTCCTCGAATTTCAGGAGGTGGTAGCGTACTGGTAATGTCACTGGACAAATAGTCCAGAACCCCAGGGAAATGTTCTGGGGACGTGGGTTCACAGATAGTGTAATTTGAACTCAATAAAAATCTGATATTAATAAAGCTAACCTAATGATGATCATTGTTGATTCTAGTAACACTTTCATCCAGTTCATTAATGTTTTAGGGAAGGTAATCTGTCATCCTTACCTGGTTTGACCTATTTGTGACTCCAAAGCCACAGTAATGTGCTTGGCTCTTAACTGCCCTGTGGACAACAAACGCTGGCCTAATCAGAGACATCAACATTGCTTGAGTAAATTAACAAAAGCTGGTGAGTAGAGGTAAATTTTACCTCTGTCCAGATAAAGTCTAAAATTCCCACAGGCTGTCACTGTTGATAACTTTGTTTGATGCACTCAGCACTCCATTATGATCACTGCACAGGTAACAACCATTCGGAGCGTTGACTGTTAGGAGGTTGTCTGCATGGATTTCTATGGAAAAATCCAGGGGAGTACCCCCTGAGACGGAGAAAGTGCCATTGTGTTCCATTGTCCAAAACTTCCCATTGTTCCCTGAAGAGTGAAACAGAAACATGATCTACATCATGATTGCTGTTGAACATCTCAATCTTCACCTTGTCTTTATTTTCTGAGGATAAATAATAAACAGAGATTTGGGAAATAAAAGGTTAGTCACCATAGCCCTACCAGACCATAGAGCTACTCTCTCGTTAGAGACATACAACTGGTGGCAGTTTAATCTGAGGGGCACCAGGCCACAAATGAGTGGATAGGTTGGGAAGGAGACTCCTTCATGGCAACTTCAGCCAGTGTGGGAATTGGAGCCATGCTGTTTCCATTACTCTGCATCACAAACCAGCCATCCAGCCAACTGAGCGAGCTGACACCCAATTGTAGAATTGAATCACAGAGCTGTGGTAAGAGGCAAAAACAAAATGCAAAGTACAAGAGATGTGGGGTAAGATCACAGTCACTCAAATGCTTTGACCTTGGTCAATATCATCCAAAGGCACAATGTCAGTTTTCACATGAATGCTCATTACACCCAGTCCTACCACCCACAAATTTGAAAAGTTTGAAATTATTCCAGTTTGTTCATAACTTCAGTGGCACATCTGATCCCGAGATGATTTTTAGACTTTATATTTGTGTCACCACGAAGGCTGTACATTTCCATACCTATAATCTTGCTTGACTTCACTACTTTAACTCATCTACTGCTGAAACCTTCATTTGTAACTCTGTTGCTTCTTGACTTAACTATTCCAATAATGTTATGGCTGGTCTCCCACATTCAGTTGGTAACCACAAGGAATAACTTGAAACTGCAGGCAGTTGCTGACAAATTGTGGCCGTGGAAGTGTTTTATTTAGGTACCTGATCAAACACGAGAATGGAAATAGAAAGAAAAGAAAATGTACACGGTAGACAAACAAAACAGAAATCCCATCACAGAGAAGTGCAAAACCTCTCCAGAGTAGAAGATCCTGGATGAGAACTGGCAGTAAATTAAACAAAAATACAAAAGTACTGTAAATCAGAAATGACAACAAAGACTAGACAAGCCCATTAGCTTCAAATGTTAACTCTCTTTATCCACACTAAAGTTGCTTGACACAGATTTTTGACCTTGTTTTCAAGTAGCCTCTATACATTCCTATTTATCTGTCTCTGGTTAATATGCTCAAAGTAGTGATGTCAAGCCCCACAGACCACACCTACTCCTGTTGAAATCTCCCAGTAGTTCAAGATCTTCTGACTTAGGGATTCTGCTGATTAGAGGACGAAGCTCTTCCCAGAACTAATGAGTAATGTTAGAGCATAGATAGTTGAGATTAACCAGCCTTTGTGAGTTGAGAATGGATGGACAGCACACCTTCTGAACCATTGGTGGGGTTGGGTGGAGACAGTTCTATCATTGAGAATAGTGAGTTCCTTTCAGCAAAGCATACACCCTACTCGCGCTTTTCCTCTGAACTCTTCCCCCCTCCAGATAAATATGTAATGCTTTTCTTTCAGGGATCTGCCCTCAATGAGTCTGATCATTTGTATGGAAGCTATGTCAGTGATCAATTAGCTTATCGAGTTCCAGGAAGATCACAGCTGTCCTACACACATTATCAAGCAGCTGCAAGTTGGCTTTTAACCTCTTGCACATGATTCTGATGCTGTTATGTGATCTGCCAATCAGAAAGTTAACATCTTCTTTCTCTTTGTTTCAGTTATTTGTCTGCTGTGATGGATTCAGTCCTGTGCTGAGCAGAGGAACTCCAAGAGGCCATTGAAGCAGATGGACCGTAACAGGTCCATGCCTTGTTTGTAAAGAGTTAACTGGCTTCAGGGGTCTGACCAGTGGGGACATCTGGTTTCTTCCACCATCGAAAACATACTGTAGCACACAGATGTCATGGTAATTGAATTGGTTTTATTACTTATAACCGTGATCTTGTGTTGTGTTAGTGCTCTGCAAAGAAGCAGGAGCATTCTCTCTCGGGTGTAAGCACGGGCAAAATTTATGAAGACCCTGGCTGCACAAATGTCAGGGTGTCCTCTTGTCCTGCCTGATTGAGCAGAAAGAAATGAAATGCACTACATTGGGATGAGCTTGATTGCAGAGGTCATTGGAAAGATTTAGACATCAATCTATCTTTTAGCTCCAATCCAAATATTTTTTCAGGGCTTATTTCTTTAGCTTTCAACCCTGTCAGGTTCCACACAAGACACTGGATCTATTGATCTATAGCTGGGAGTTTGCTTCATGAGTGCCAGGTTGTGCCCAAGTGGCAGTAGGCCTGTATATGTATGTCTGGGAGTCAAATCTCTTCCAGGTTTCTCTGAAGTTTCAATCTGGGACTGCAAGGGACCTAGCTTTTGTCTGCTGCTGTGAGAAACCGTGGTAAATGGTTTCCCGATGGAAAAGCTGTGCACTGACAGCGAAGGACTTACATATTGGGCACCCTTTTTCGTATTGCTGCTAGCCAACAGTGTAGGCTGAAAACGTGAAGCATCCAGAAGTGGAAAGCATACTAACTCTCTCCTCCACATGCTGGGTCCATCACATGGACCTGTTGGGCACACTGAATTCAACTAATTAATAAAACATCTGGAATTGAACGCTTATGTGGTCATGAAACAATAATTGATTGTGATTAAAATGAACCTTTTTGGTTCACTGTAGGGAAATGGTAGGGAAGGAAATCTGCTATCCTTAACTGGTCTGGCCTACATGTGACTCCAGACCCACAGCAAAATGTGGTTGACTCTTAACCACCCTCTGGAATGGCATAGTAAGCCAAGCTGTTGTTTGACAGTCTACAGGAAAGTTGATACCAAATGGACTGGAATGGTTTAGGAAGGTCATTCACAGGCACTTTCTGAAGGGCAATTAGGGATGTACAACAAATGCTGGCCTTGCCAGTGGCCATCACATCCCATTGAAAGAATAAACAAAAATGCATTAGATGTCCGAACTCAGTCACCATGCTTGCATCACATTACGGCCGCATCATCTGATAAATACTCAAACTTTGATCTATGTTAAACATAAAGGCCAGAAAGCAACTAATATATTTATTTACAGTGACAATATGAAGTTCGAATTGATCATAATTATAAATTATAGAAATACAATATATAAATATCCTTTGGTGTTCCTGACTTGGTTCAGTGGGAAAACATTTATCACTGAGTCAGTCTTGAGGTCCGAATCTAAGCACATAATCCAGGCTAATGCTTTAGTGTAATATTGACGGGCAGTAGATTGTCGATAGTGCTATCTCTGAGAGATGTTCAGACCAGGGATCTGTCTATCCTGTCATTGGACAGAAAGAATCCCATTGCATTATTTGATAAAGAGCATGAAGATTCATCCCTGGTGGTGTCCCAATATTTGTCCTTCAATCAGCATCAGTAAAAAAAAAGTCATTTATCTCATTGCTGCTTGATTTGTGAAAGATGTTACATAAGTACAATTTCTCTATGACACTTGTTACATTGATAATCAACAAGTTGCTGTAAAGGTAACAGTGGTACATGCTATTGTACCTCTCTTTACAAATGGCGCTGTGATCTAAAATAAATTACAAGAATGCCTTTATTCTTATTTTCTTTAGAGGTAATCTCTCAAAGCCCATTTAGGCAAACAGTTTTTTAAAAACTTGCATTTGTATAGCAACTTTCATGACCTCAGGAAGTCTCAAAGTGAATTACAGTTAATGAAGTTCTTTTTTGCAACAGTTCAACATATGAGATGCAGCAACCAGTTTGTACACAGCTCCCACAAACAACAAAGTGCTAATGACCAGACAGTCTGTCTCTGCAATGTTGATTGAAGGATAAATATTGGCCAAGGTGCCTTCCCTCCTGTTCTTCGAAATAGGACGCTTGGATCTCTTACTTTCACCTTAGAAATCAGACAAGGTCTCTGTTTGATGTCTCATCTAAAGGAAGACATTTGTCAGTTAAATATTCCTTCAGTACTGCACTAGAGCATTACACTTGATTTTTGTGCTCAAGACTCTTGTGTGGGTCTATGGTCCACAAACTTGTAACTCAGAGGTGAGTGTGTTTCCAATTGAGCCAAAGATAATATTAAAAAGGCATAATTTCTCTGAATCTGATCAAAGCTATTGAGATTCACAAATTATAAACATACACTAAGCACAAAAGAAACAGGTTCAAATAATTTCAGAATAAGTTCCAAGTTCAACAACATTATTTTTATCTTGTGCTCAATTCTTTGTTTATGCTTAAGTGACCTTTTGATACCATAATGTTCAAATAGTCATTTCTGAAAAACCTCAAGTAGAATTCAATTTTGTTTTTAACCTTTTTCTGTGTTGGACACAACACTTAAAACTTTGAGGTAGAGTTGTGCAGGTATCCTCAAAAATGTTGCCTCAAATGAGAACGAAAAGTTAACATATCCAGGAAAGTGATAACACCGTGCAAATCTGTGCTGATCACACAAGAACCTATTCAGTGAAATTAAACCAGTTCCTTTCTGTCGAAGGAATGGCTTCTATTAACTTAATAACGAGGACACTTTTGGCAATGTACGTAAATGAATCAGCAGTTCACATTTTGCGCTGGGCCTGATAGAACTTTCTAAAAGTTCCCTTCCTTCCAACCAAACATCCATCCATGTGTAAATATTGGAACCTTTTACCAATTTTATCTAACAAGTTTATAAAAGGTTTTCTATTAGGAGTCCAAGAGGATGTGAAGGCAATCAAATCAGAATGCTGTTCAGATATGCAGCACCTCAGCTCCCTGGTCCTTTTCACCGTCCTTTATAATTTGGATGGCAAATGGATTATGCCGAAGGACAGCAGGAAGTTCTGCAGAGCGCTTTGGTATTCCTGAGGATGCTGCTGCAGATTGCCAGCATGACGGGAAATCTTCCAGCTTTTCCCAACTGCAGGGATGCCTTTCCTCTGCCAGTGATGCAACAGGGCCTCTACTTCCTTGTAGTTGCTCAGAGAGTCGTTCTGACAGTAGAATAACAGAATAGGGGTGTGGTACTTGTTTCCCGAAAGTTTTGATGCCAGCTTGGCAGTGCTTGACTGTGTAACCACTCAAAAGCCAGAAATAGAAAAGTGTGGCCCCTTTGAGGAATGGCTGGAAGATGGGAGGAGCCAGCAGCTGTGAAATACCTGGAATGTATTGAAAATATATAGATTAGCATTACAATCTGTGTGTGCTTGGTGGTGAGAATAGAACATAAATAAAAGCTACTCACCGATAAATCCAATATAGAATTTGGGAGTAACTTTGTTACCCAGAGAGCTGTGAAAATGTGGAATGTATTGCCACACAGAATGTTTAAGGTGAAATGCATTGATGCATTTAAGGCCTGGACACCAGGAGCAGTAAATGCCTTTTTGGCAGTTTCAATATTTATATCAAAACAAAATCGAGGAGAGGAATTTGGAATGGGAGGGGATGGATACAGTTATCATGGAGCATGTTGATACCAATAAAATTATTAGGATTGGAAAGGAGATTCTGTTGAAAGAATCTGAACAGTTAGGAGCTTTAAAAAACAGAACATCCAAGGTAATAATCTTAGGTTTACTATTTGAGCCACAGGTAAACTGATACTGGATAAACAAAGTCAAGAAATTAAATGTGTAATTTAAAGATTGATGTAGGAGGAATGGACTTCAGTTCATGGACATTGACAGCAATGCTGGGATAATTGTTCTAACCACATGGGCTTCACTTGAACCGTCCTGGGACTAGGTTCCTGTTGAATTGGACAAGTAGTGCCGTAAGCAGGGCTTTAAACTAATTAGAGGAACAGGGTTTGGAAAAGGGAATACCTCGGCTTTCAAAGCAAAAGGATATGGATATTTTTACATTGGAACGGGCTCAAGAAAAGATTTACAAGGATCTTGCCAGAATGGAGGGTTTGAGTCATAAAAATAGGCTGTATAGGCTGGGATGTTTTTCACTGGAGCGTAGGAAGTTGGGGGGTGACCTTCAGGATCCAGTGACCAGTTCTGAGGAAGGGTTACCAGACCCCAACGTTAACTCTGATTTCCCTCCATAGATGCTGCCAAACCTGTTGAGATTTTCCCATCGATTTCTGTTTGTTTCTGATTTACAGCGTCCACAGTTCTTTTGGTTTTTATTGTGGGCTGACATTATAGAGTTTATAAAATCATGAGGGGTATAGATAAGGAGACTAGCAATGTTTCTTTTCCCCCCTAGGGTGAGGAAGTTCAAAACTAGGAGGCATATTTTTAAGGTGAGAAAAGAAAGGTTTAAAAAGGACATGAAGGGCAACTTTTTTTTTAAATACACAGAGTGGCTCGTTTCTCAAATGAACTGTCAGAGGAACTGGTGGATGTGGGTACAGTTATAAGAATAAAAAGATATTTGGATAACATATGAATAGGAAATGTTTTGAGGGCTTTGGCATGGACTGAAGGATCTGTTTCCATGCTGTATGATACGGTGCCAAATCAGGGCAACTATTTTGATCATGATACCCTGAGTTGGACAGGAAAGGAGTGGGACAGGGATGTGCAGGCTAGGTGGATTAGAAATGGGAAAATGCAAGGTTGCAGGGATAAGGTAGGGCAGTGGCGGGGGGGGAGGTGGTGTGTGTGGGTAGAATGCTCTTCGGAGGGTTGGTGTGGATTCAAGGGGATGAATGGCCTGCTTCCACACTGTAGGGATTCTATGATTCTGGGAAGGGATAAAAAGTGTTCATACATAAAAATAGCAACAAACAAGATCAAATGGGGGAAAAAATGCAAAATTAAATGGTTCTTTACTTAAATGTATGTTAGTATACAAAATAAAACAAATTAATTAATGGCTCAGATACAGGTTAATGGGTATGACCTTATAGCCATTATAGTGATATAATTACAAGGAGATCAAAATTGGCAACTATTCAGGGGTATGTGACCTTTTAAACAGGAAGGGGAGGGTACTGGCATAGCTTTGTTAGCAGGAGATAGAATAAGTATGATAGCAAGAAATGATCCAGGACCAGATGATGTGGAATCTCTTGAAATTAGTAATAGTCGCAAAAATAAAAGAAATACTTCTTTCCACACAAGTCTGGGTGTGGAATGCATGGCCCAAAGTGAAACTGGTTATCAACAAAAACAAGTATTTTTATTTAGGCTGTCCAATCCTCCACCTGCGATAAGCTTATTTAAAACGAGTTACTAAAAGAAACTCTACTGGAGCCTCTAATAGCTGCATTTTGTGCTAGTTGACTTCTTGGGAATTTTTTTTCTGGTTTGAGAAAGTGAACTGACTGGAGCCTGTACATCTGAGGATAAATAATTTGAACAACCTTCTTAACAACTGCAGTTGGTGGAATCTCACATTATTGATGTGGGCGCAGTCAGTAGACTATGGGTGGGGCCTCATCCCAATTGAGTTCAATCCTGAGATATGCCAAAGATTGTGGAATTCAAACATAACACATGACATTTGGCATAACTCCCTTACATTTAAAATTCACCTAGTCTTTTCCACATTGGTTTGCAGTTTATGTTAATATTTTTAGGAGAAACACCTTGATTTTTTTTTTAAACGATAGGTGTGCCTCACCTTTCGCAAGGACTTCCATATCTCCCGCAACCAAACTATCAAAGATCTGGCCCATAATCCTTTCCTTGAAGCCTGAATAACGTTGTACATCTCTCTGTGTGATTACAGGCATCTCGGCAAAGAGGAATCCTCTGATGGAGAGCGCGTGGATGAGAAGGGGCCGTGAGGAGAAAGTCTCGCTCTGGAGTAGGTCCAATGACTCAGAGGCGTAGGACAAGCCATTCTGTGGCCATAGAAAGTGCCAGATGCTGCTTTCCACCGTTAGAACGTTGATGCCATATGGGTAATAAATCTGCCGGTAGTGATCTATGGCATGGGGCTTGGCTCCATACCAGGGAAGGAGTAGAAGGAGTGGCCTGCGTGCATCATCCAGGGTTTTAGGGCTCTTTCCACAGAAGGTGATGGTGGTGGACAGTCTTTTCATCATCATGTTCGCGGCAGCATATCATAACTGGGTGAGGGGTTTATATGTGTGAAAGGGGATAGAAAAGAAAACAAGCAGCATTAAAATTAGTACATTCCACAATACTAGTACACAATAATGTAACATGTCAAAATTCAACTTGGTTAAAACAAAGACAAGAGCTTTAATTTTTCTACAATCTCATAATTACAATGGGAGGTGTGGAGAGACAGCCTGAGAGAAGGCAGTGCTGAATTCTCCATTTTTAAAAGCAAACTCTCTTCAATTGGCTTCAGAAGTTGCAATGAAAATGTTAACATTTTTTGGACCAGAAACATTCATGTTCTTCTATGAGAATGTTTGTTTCAACTGCCTTCTAATGAAGTATTTTAATTGCATTGAAATTCATCTTTATAGGTGACAGTGATACCCATCTTTGAACGTTCATGTGTAACTGAACCAACACAAAGAAAGTATTGCTTTGATGCTGTTATCAGAGTTATACCTGTCATATATTTTAAGAAATTATTAAATAATTGTAATGTTCTTTACATTCACAAACAGGATAACTTTAAACTTAGACACGCTCACACCGTGACTCCATCACCTATGGCCAAATTTTTACTTTAAACCTATAAACACTGGGTGACAGAATGCAAGGAATTTTTTGCATTTGTATCACTAGGAATCTCCAGCAATCTCAGGAATTCTAGCAACTCCTAAAATCCCACATTACATTCACAAGTTATCTGATTTCTCAGTTACAGCTCCTTTTGCCTGCTTCTGTAAGCGAGGTCCTTTCCTTTATTTGTAAATGGGATGAGGGTATCGCTAGCTAAGCAGCATTTATTGCCCATCCCTAATTGTCCAGAAGGCAGTTCAGAGTCAACCACATTGCTGTGGGTCTGGAGTCACATGTAGGCCAGACCAGGTAGGGATGGCAGTTTCCTTCCCTAAAGGACATTAGTGAACCAGATGGGTTTTTCCAACAATTGACAATGAATTCATGGTCATCATTAGATTCTTAATTCCAGATATTTTTATTGAATTGAAATTCCATCTGCCATGGCGGAATTCGAACCCAGGTCCTCAGAATGTTATCTGGGTCTCTGGATTAACAGGCCAGTGATAATACCACTAGGCCATCACCTCCGCAGTCTCAGTCTAATATCCCTATTCCTACTGTAGGCTGTGGAGATTCTGAGAGTATTTTGCATTCATGCAGCATCTTTCTTGTCTTCAGCATGTCCCAAAACACTTTACAGCCAATAAAGCTATTTTGAAGTGGAGTCACTGTTGTAATGCAAGAAATGTGGCAGCTAGCATGTGAAAAAGAACTTCCTACAAAGACCTAACACAGTGTGGAGCTGGAGGAGCACAATAGCCCAGGCATCATCAGAAGAACAGGAAAGTTGATGTTTCAGGTCGGGACCTTCAGAAGTGGGGCGGCTTCATAGTGGGGTTTATAACTCACTCAGATAGTAAGAACTGCCAATGCTGGAGTCAGAGATAACACAGTGTGGAGCTGGAGGAGTACAGCAGGCCAGGCATCATCAGAGGAGCAGGAAAGTTGATGTTTCAGGTCGGGACCCTTCTTTAATGTAATAAAGTGCCACATCCCCCATTTCAGATTTTATTTGTGGGATAAATATTCCTCAGAACACAGGAGCACTCTTCTCCTCCTCTTCAAATACTGAAGTGGGATTTCTTCCTTGTACCTAAAAGTGCAGATGTGCCTTGGTTTAATATTTCATGAGAAGGATAGCACTTGGAGCAGTGCAGCACTCCACAAGTACCAGCCTGACGTTTTAGATTTCTAACAGTGAAGTCTCAGGAATGGGCCTCGAATCAAAAACCTTCTGACTCAGAGATGAAAGTGCTATCACTGAGCTCAGCTGACATTTAACTAGACTAACAGTGGTGGTTATACAGTTTAGCCACTGAGTAGGATTTCCTATTTAAATACTTATACCTAGTGAGTTGACTTCACTGACTGTTGTACAATAGCCTTTGGACCAGTGCAGCCCTCAGAACCTATGACAGCCTACACAACACCTTTGTGAAGTCACCAACTAATGATTTGAGCACAGGCCCCAAATTCATCAACCAACTGACAACTTAATCACAGCCCCTGGATTTAACAATGTCAATATAATTCACGTTATTGATGTGTAATTTGACTACAGTTTCCTCAGAATCAAAAAGAACTGTGATTAAATTACATTTCAGTTGGTACATTAAATACAAGTTAAATTTTGGAATCAAAGCTGTACTCTGCAACTTAGAAACAATCACTAGGCCGCAGTCCTTCTTTTGTTTTGTTTAAATTGTTTCTCCTTTTACCACATAGCTGCGTTCCCTGAAGGCTCCTGTGAGGGCCTGTTAAGCTCGGCAGTCTCCTGGTTTAGAAATACCAGACAGGAGCACAATTTGCACCTTCTGCTGAATCTGAAGGCAGCGAGTGTTTTTTTTTGGGGGTGGCGGTAAAGGAGAGGAGGGGTAGCTGCTCAACCTTTGATGCTCTAATGAAAATGAACTGAATGCTTTCATGCTAGCCACATCGCAATACAAAACATACCACACACAATCTGCAGGAAAACCTTTAGTCACATCTGCATTTTTCTCCTTTCGCCTGCAGCTTTGTAAAGGCCTTCTGGGACTTTGAATAGACACTTTTCAAATCACCCAGTCCCACTGCACAGAAATAAACCTGACAAGTCCACTCTGTTTGAGCATCAGTTGAGCTTCTTCAGCTGATCTTTATCCAACCCAAAGAATATCCTTCTTTCTCCCTTTGTGCTTATGGGGCTGAGAAAGAAAATGGTGACGTTACTTGTGCGTTGGAATGTGTTACCGTGATGACCAGTGGCTTGAGAACAGGACCCAGCAGTGGAAACAATAACCCATGGCAATTGATAACCACTCTACATGAAGCATTTGAAGTAGGATTAACTTGCCTCGCTCAGATCAGACTTTTCTGTCATCAGCACAATGGCATGAGATGAAGCTACCTCTTCCTCCATGGATTTTCTCCATTATCCTATTTGTTTATGTAGCTTATCTTTAAATATTTAAATGTTATTTGCCTCAACCTCTCACTTTGGTAGCAAATTTCACATTATAACCATTCTCCAAGTAAAGATGCTTCTCCTGAATTCCCAATTTAATTCATTAGCGATAATTTTATATTTATAGCTCCCAGTTCTGGCCTCACCTGCAAGGAGAAACATCATCTCTACATATATCCTATCAAACGTTTCCACTTAAAAGATCTTTACCAGGAACACTCTCAGTCTTCTCTCCCTTTGCTCAAATGCACCAAATTATCACCCTTTCCCCCTCTACAATAGGTACACCTGATTCCCAGTGTCAGTTTTCAGGTTCCGTTGCATAGCTCAGTTCCATATGTTTTGTATATAGCTATCTCAAACTTTGTGTGTCTGTAGAGACTGCACACTCCCTAATATGAAGTTATAACAATGTTGCCAGACTTTGCCATAGTGGCTTGTATCAGCTAACTATAAGGGCAACTGTCAATAACTGGAGATTCCAGATTTAATCTCTGGTCAGTTAGCACAACCTGCCTGTGTTGCCATCACATGACCTAGGTCTGGGAGTTGGACTGGGGTAAAAGACAAATTCAAATCTAGCATGATTCTTAGGGGAAAGGAGCAGGAGTTCAATGAGCAGCCTTCACTAACAAATTTAATTTGACTAGTATTTCTCCAACAACCAAGAACTGGATAGCAGATCACCTAACCAACTGAAAACAGTCTCACATTTACTCATATTTTCCTGTTCTTTGTTCACTGTGTTTACCAACCTACACTGGCTCCTGGTTTGTGACACCATGATCTTAAAACTCACACCTTTGTTTGCAAATCTATATATGGCCCTTCCCTACTATATGTTACTTCCTCAAGTTCCACAATTCTATACTATCACTGTGCTCCTCTAATTCAGGCCTCTCGTGTATCTGATTCTCATTTTTCCACCATCCATCTGCCTTGACTCTAATTCCCTCCTAACCCTATATACATCTCCATCTGTCTCCCCCACCCTTTTAGATGCTTCTTAAAACCTAACTGTTGGCCAGTCTTTGGTATTATTACTGTAAATGGCTTGGTACCAAAATATTTTTTGATAATTTTTCTGTGATGTGTTTACTTTAAAAGGGTGTTTATTTTAAAAGGTGCTATTTAAATGTAAGTTGTTGCTGCTGATACCCACCTGTAAGAGTGTAAGAATGACATACTTGGCTAGACCATGATTGGATCCTCTTCCCAATTGTACACCCATATTAATTCATACTAGGTGCCTGAATATCTCTTTTCTTGGGACTGCTATAATCGCACAAAAATTTGCCTTTGCATTGCGCTTTCACAAGTTCATAGATTTCAACAAATTACCTCATTTTTGACAATTTGTAGCACTCCTCCCTTTAAACAGTAAGTCATGCATTCAAACCCCATTGTGCACAAAATCCTGAATCATACTCACTATGCAGGGCTGAGGGACTGCTGTGCTATGGGAAGTACCATCTTTCAGCTTAGATGCTGATCCAAAGCTCTAGTGGCCCTCTCAGATGGACATTCTCTTGTGATTGCCTCAATCAAATCAGCCTCCACCACACTATCAGGCAGTGAATTCCAAACTTTAACCAATCACTGTCTGAAAAAGTTGTTTCTCATATCAATTTTGCTTCTTTTTCCAATCACTTTACATTGTGCCTGTGTCCTCTTGTTCCTGACCTTTCACAAGTGGCAGCTTCTTGCTACCTATTCTGTCCAGACCCTCATGATTTTGAATACCTCATCAAATTGCCCTTCAGCCTTCTCTTCTCCAAAGAAAACATCCTAATTTCTCCAATTTATCTTCATAACTGAAATTCCCCACTGAAACCACTGATAGATCTTCTTCTGTACTTTCTCAAATACATTCACATCCTTCTGGAAATATGTCACCCAGAACTGGAAGCAATGGGTTCAACAATACATCATTGGTCTTGAACCCAATGCCCC